AGGAACGAAAAAAGGTGAAGAAAAAAAGATGAAGTGGTGGAGGGATATTGGTTACAGTGGTCGCTAAAAACCGATTTCGAAGCTACAGTGAATTCGCGACTAAATGCATGTTTTTCTTATTGAGTTGTAATGAAACCCTTAATTTACCTTAACCATAGTTCGCTTTGCTTGAAGTCGAGGATGCGTGCGAAAGAAATTGATGGAATGAATCGATCCTTCATTTGTTGTTTCGCGTTCCATACTATTCAGCGTTGCGATTACTTCATAGGCCTCAACAACTAACCGATAGTCCCATGGTTCATTCAGAAATTTTTCGCGAGTGTCCAGTTTTTTTAATTCTTGCTAGAAAATGGGCTTTTTTTTAGTTTCAGTTATCTTTTTTAGCTTTTCTGTTCAACTTTAAGGAACTGTTATTACGGCATCTGGCGCCTACACAGTCCACTAGATGCTAGGATGGAAGTATTTCTAGGGTTGAAGCTTTTACCGACTCCGGTTCCCTTCCAGAGCCTAAACGTCAATGTGATAACGTCGTAGTACGTACGAAGGTAGTGGTTCCAAAGAGAGGAAAATGAAACAAATGCGGATTGAATTGCGCATTAGATTTTTGTGTGCATAATTCGTGCTTCGGTCTTCATAGAAATTTGGAAAGCAGACTGAGTTTGGAAGTCGTATCATTAGCTTCAGAAATCGGTTTAGTTTCCTTTGACGTAGCATGTAAAACGGTGAAGACTGTGCAGAATCCTCCTGCGGCACATCTACAGTGAAGTACTGCATCCGTGATTTGGCGTAAAGCCGAAATGGAAAGCTGGGCTTTTATGTGCTGTGAATGAGGTGCAGTAGGCGGAAAGCGCATCCTTGAATATTTCTCAAATAATGTTAAACAAAGACGGAGGTGGGAGGGTTCGCTTAAGCGCCTTTTTAATGCCGTGTGAATGTGACGAGCTGAAAATCGAACGATGCGAGCATTGCCAGTTCTTTAGATTTTTGCGCGATTTATGAAAACTTATTACGGATCATATCGTTTCAAGTTTTCCTCACTGTGCTTGGTATGCTGAATACTAACGTAATGATTAGTGCTATAGTGCAGTGATATTTTTTAGTTCTAAATTACTTTGCAAAATAATCTTTGCCATCAGTGAAAATGCTCTAATTGACATTATTTTCAAATATATTAATAAAGAAGCTCCCCCCACCCCTCCTCCCGCCAAGAAAAAAAATCCACGCCTAGCCGTACCTGTACTTTTTCGTCCCATTCGGAAGCCTGGATAGAAGTGTTCAGCTGGAAGTGGCTCCATGCTTGTTGTCGTGACATACAGAACGTGATATTAGGCATTTGCATAGTATCATTGAACATTATGTTCATATCCGATTGCTTCGGATATTCCATGTATTCAATTAACTAAATAAATATCCCGTAATGAAATGCACAAATTTGGACTTACATCAGCATCGAGTAGCTAGAAGTGTTTGATTACCAGTTTTTAAATTTATTAATGATTAAGAACGGCTTCTCACTCAGCTTCCTCTAATTCCCTTATGCGAATGACATATTTTTTGATACTTCTATTTTTCATTCCTGAAAAGTGAAATATTTAGTTTTAGCATCCAAAAGTTCAGTTTTTAAGCGTTTTTGCTGTGTAGCGCTATAGCGCTGCTACAGCCAGCAAAAACGCATTTTATCGAGAGGCTGTCTGTGTGTACATTCGGATGCGAATGCATTTTGTCACTCACTTTCATCTCAGCAGCCAGGAAAGCTGGGAGGCTGTAACTTTGGATATATGTTCCTACCCCGTGTGTCACCCTCCCGTTTCAAGATTTTCCCTCACACACGCCTAGGCCTTGCGTACGAACCCCCGAAAAAATATGCAAATTTCATTGGCGGAAGACGATTTTGCAAACCAGGCAAGGTACAAAGCTGAAACTTTGCAGGAATATTCTCTGTGCATGTGCGAACTAAAGATTTTAAATTCAGCTGTCGCGCACGCTTGACTTGCACGACCACGTCAGAGTTTGCAAGTGGTACTGCGCTAACTCGAAAACTTGTCGAAAAACAGTGGCTGAAATTTTGAAAGCATGTTTTTCGCCCATATGGGAAATCGCATACCTAAAATGAGTACCGACTTGCACTTGCGCCACAACTTATGGCACTTCAAAGATATTTGTAGCGAAATGGATATTTCGCTTACCGGATAAGTTGCGAGGCTGAAAATTCGCTGGAATATTCTACCTTCAAGTGCGGCCTTAGTTCTGCTTGGAGGTGAAATTTCTTGCAGGTGGGCGTAAAAAATACTCAACTTTACCGAAAAACCAGAAACGAGTGCGTTTTGCAGCGAACGACCGCCCTCACCCAAATATGTAAATCAACATTATTTCATTTGCATACTTGAATTTTTTGACAAACGACCGCTGTAACAATACTTTCATTTTTTTTTTCAGTTCAAAAATTTGCATTTTTCATTTTTTCAAAAAGCGAGCATTTACCGAAAAAACGACCGAGCTTCATACAAAAACCTGGTAATCATATACCTAGAGTTCCATGTGGCTGTGTAATGCAACACCCTCATCCCAACCGATGCCCATCCTGCTGCATGCCGGAGGAAATCAAACGGCCAGTACGAGCCCAAGTGTTTGGCTGCAGCGCAGGGATTATCCTGCTATTAGCGACCTGCGAGTTTAGTGCAAAAACGCATGATCGCACCGGCAAGCCTGGTGCCAGCCTGGGTTTCTTTTTATATCCACCTTATTTATCCAGCTATAATCATTTCTGCGTACTTTTTGCTCAATAGGACAATAAGATGTGACTGAATAACTAGCGCTCGAATAAACTGCATATTTGCAAGCTCTTCTCGATGGTTATCAGTGGCCGACTAACAAGACTCTTCGTGGAGCAGCAGTCGCCAAAAAAGCATGCTGGATTCCGAATTATTTGCATTACTTTGGATCATCTTTTGCCGTAAACCAGCCTAAACCAACTCTTTAAGCATACAAAGGAGTATCAAATCCCTTTTTCTTGTTCACTAATTGCAAAAAAGCATTTGATAGCGCAGGACATAACGCAGTTTTCTACCTGGATCCGTATTTCGATCGAGGGGACATGAGGCAAGGCTACCCTCTATCACCCAAGCTTTTGGCGGACTGGCTTGAGATGACATTTCGTGGAACGTGACCTTGAGATCAGTGGCGAGCAGCTAAACCATTTATACTCTGCGGACGATACAGTTCTTAGTGCGAGTAGCTTTCGCAGTATACAGTGCATCAAAAACGAAGACGATGCAAAGTGCCAGTGTGCCCGCGGCTAAATTGTAGTGATGATTAGCATGGAAGAGAGCTTTTGCATTTATGCTGATACGATTATCATTTGCATGCTTAGGTGCATGGTTTTATCTCACATGACTCTGCTGTTGATCACTTCCATTTGTCTCGGGCAGTCTTTGGCAAAAAATGAGTGAATACTACCAGTAGGATGATGTCTCGTATGGACATAGCAGCCAGAAACGCAACAATGAACCAGAAGCCCCAGCGACGCATTCTTTCCCCCAAGCAGCATTCTTTCCAGTCGAACCCTTTAGCAACCCTTATTTCTTCTTCCACGACCACTTGCTCCGGTGCGCTAAAAACTTCCAGCTTTTTTTTCTCTTTGTCCATTCAATCATACAAAAGCCAGTACTTCCCCAAATGAGGAAGACGCAGTGGATAGCATGAAAATCAGAAAAAAAAGTGAAGTTCATGCTGAGTAGGCACACTGCGTGCTTTGCTGGCAAATGACGCACCGAAAAATCATTTAGTTTTTCAAGTGAAGTATTAAATTCTAAAATTTTTGCAGCGTATTCTTGGAAAAGCGTTGTCATATCGGATTCGATCTGTAGCTGTAGTTTGTATAACAGTTTTTTTTTGAAAGAAATTCATTTTGAGCAGCAAGATCTGCCACATTGTCATTGTGAAGCTCTGATGTTGCCAAGTTCCACCTGTTTGCTCAAGCAGCAGCTGGCCGTTCTCTTTTGAGTTCCTAGTTTATTCTCACCGTACGCTCACCGGTTGTTTAGCCAGGCTGAATGTTTTGGCGACTTTTCCTCTCGTGCTGTTTTTCATATTTGCAAAATGTTCTTATATTAAAATAAAACTGTGGATTGATAGCCACTGGACAGCTTCCATGCAGACGGGCTCCGCAGAGATTACGCGCGTGCGCAGTGGAGCTAAGTGGTAAAAGGAGGGAACCTGCTGGCAACGATGGGTCTGCATAGCTACTCCCACTAGATAGGTATCTATCTTATCAACGTTTTGGTCGTAACTCTTATCACTCAGCTATCATAATCACTTCAATACGCGCAACGCACTCCATTCTCTGGTTCGGGCTTTCGGGCTAGTTTGCCATTACGCTGTGATAGTCCTGGCAATCTCGATGAATATTAAAAAAAAAAAAGAATAAACAGAATGATTCAAACTGACCTCTGGCTTAGCTTGTGTCTTAGCTCTTCATACACTTGTCGTAACAGTTCGATATCACTGAGATGACGATTCTGTTGCTCTTTGTCGCAACCTTCTTCCTTGGCATCGCAGTCTGCCAGAAGTGGACTTCTAACCGAAGCTGCACTATAGTTTTTTCCTTTCGTCGTATCAGCAACAAAATTCACCTGTTTCTTCGAATTCTGCTCCAGATTTACTGAATCAGATGGACCAGCTAACAGCGTTTTTTCTTGTGAGAAACTATGAGTCTTATTCGGTACTAAAACCGACGCCGGATGGTAGCTCTCTTTTCCGAGGTTTCGTTGTGGATAATAGCAGTCCAAGATTGGAATGTACTTATTTTGGTTCGATTTCTGGCTTCTTGGAGTTCTCGAGTTCATTGATGAAAGTCTTGGTGAAAATTAGCTGTCCAGTAATATCAGTTTAGCCTAATCGTGTTATTTATTGAATTCGTGACTGTGAAAGTCCTGGATATAGCTTCATAATTTGGTCAGTCTTTGTGTAGCACCGTAATTCCTGTCGGGCGCATTTGGAATTTTAACCGTTGGTGTTTGAAAGATTGTGCTGTGTGCGCAACTTGGGCCTTCTGCTGAAGATCGATTGTCGTGGATTTCTCGGTAAATACTTATATTTAG